AGGGAAGGTCATGCCTGACTAATCTAATCGCCTTCTATGATGAGATTACTGGTTCTGTGGATGAAGGGAAAGCAGTGGATGTATTGTTTCTTGACTTTAGCAAAGCTTTTGACACGGTCTCCCACAGTATTCTTGTCAGCAAGTTAAAGAAGTATGGGCTGGATGAATGCACTATAAGGTGGGTAGAAAGTTGGCTAGATTGTCGGGCTCAACGGGTAGTGATCAATGGCTCCATGTCTAGTTGGCAGCCGGTGTCAAGTGGAGTGCCCCAGGGGTCGGTCCTGGGGCCGGTTTTGTTCAATATCTTCATAAATGATCTGGAGGATGGTGTGGATTGCACTCTCAGCGAATTTGCGGATGATACTAAACTGGGAGGAGTGGTAGATACGCTGGAGGGCAGGGATAGGATACAGAGGGCCCTAGACAAATTGGAGGATTGGGCCAAAAGAAATCTGATGAGGTTCAATAAGGATAAGTGCAGGGTCCTGCACTTAGGACGGAAGAACCCAATGCACAGCTACAGACTAGGGACCGAATGGCTAGGCAGCAGTTCTGCGGAAAAGGACCTAGGGGTGACAGTGCACGAGAAGCTGGATATGAGTCAGCAGTGTGCCCTTGTTGCCAAGAAGGCCAATGGCATTTTGGGATGTATAAGTAGGGGCATAGCGAGCAGATCGAGGGACGTGATCGTCCCCCTCTATTCGACATTGGTGAGGCCTCATCTGGAGTACTGTGTCCAGTTTTGGGCCCCACACTACAAGAAGGATGTGGATAAATTGGAGAGAGTCCAGCGAAGGGCAACAAAAATGATTAGGGGTCTGGAACACATGACTTATGAGGAGAGGCTGAGGGAACTGGGATTGTTTAGTCTGCAGAAGAGAAGAATGAGGGGGGATTTGATAGCTGCTTTCAACTACCTGAGAGGTGGTTCCAGAGAGGATGGTTCTAGACTATTCTCAGTGGTAGAAGAGGACAGGACAAGGAGTAATGGTCTCAAGTGGCAGTGGGGGAGGTTTAGATTGGATATTAGGAAAAACTTTTTCACTAGGAGGGCGGTGAAACACTGGAATGCGTTGCCTAGGGAGGTGGTAGAATCTCCTTCCTTAGAAGTTTTTAAGGTCAGGCTTGACAAAGCCCTGGCTGGGATGATTTAATTGGGGATTGGTCCTGCTTTGAGCAGGGGGTTGGACTAGATGACCTCCTGAGGTCCCTTCCAACCCTGATATTCTATGATTCTTGGTGACCAAAACTGGACACAGCACTAGAGCTGAGGCCTAACCAGGGCCGAGCAGAGTGGTCCTAGCACTTCCAGTGACTTACATGCTTTGCCTCTCTTAAAGCAACCTAAAATTGAAGTTGCTCTTTTTGCATCACAACAGCATCACATTGTTGACTCGTGCTGAGGATGCGATCCACCAGAACTCCCAGATCCTTCTCAGCAGTGCTGCTGCCAAGCCAGTTATCCCCCATCCTGTGTTTGTGTATTTGGTTTTTCTTCCCTAAGTGCAGCACCTTCCATTTGTCTTTGCTGAATTTCATTTTGTCGTCTATAGCCCAGTTCTCCAAGTTATCAAGATCCCTGTGGATTTTAGCTCTGTTCTCCATTGCAACTCCCCCCAGCTTTGTGTCATCTGCACACGTGATCAGTGCGCTCTCTCCTCCGACATCCAGGGCATTAATAAAGATGTTCAACAACACCTGGCCCAGAACAGATCCCTGTGGAACCCCACTGGAAACCACCCTCCAATCCAACATCATTCCATTAATCGTTACTCTTTGTTCACAGTTGTTTAACCAATTATGCATCCACTTAATGGGAGTTCTGTTGAGCCCGCATTTCTCCAGCTTACTTATGAGACTGTCCTGTGGGACTGTGTCAGAAGCCTGGCTGAAGTCCAGGTATATTATGTCCGCTGCATTCCCCCATCCACCAAACCAGTTACCCTGTCAAAGAGGGAAATCAAGCTGGTTTGGCAGGGTTTGTTCTTGGTAAATCCAGGCTGGCTGCTAACGATCACCCCTTCCTCCTCCAGGTGTTTGCACATGGAATGTTTTATACATGGCTCTTGTCGCTTCCCAGGCATTGAGGTCCAGTGACTGGCCTACAGTTCCCTGGCTCCCCCTTTCCAACCCTTGTTAAAGATGGGCCCTACGTTGGCCCAACCATAGCCCTTCTCCAATCTTCCAGGACCTCTCCTGTTATCCATGAGTTGGTAAATATTATTGCCGATGGGTCTGAGATTTCTTCAGCTAATTCCTTCAGCACCCTGGGGTGACTAACATCCAGCCCTGCTGACCTGAATTCATTCAGATTGGTCAGAAGATCTGTGACATGTTCTTTACTTAGTCCGATCTGCAGCCCATCTATTGTCTCCCCATCTATTGTCTGTTGTAACTTCGCTAGTTGTCCGGTCACATGTCATTTTTTGTGAAAAGACTGAAGCAAAGTCGGCATTGAGCAGCTCTGCCTTCCTGTCATCTTCTGTTACCAGCTCACCACCTCCAGTGAGCCACGGGCCCACACTGTCCTTGGCCTTTCTGTTTTGTCTGACATCTTTGTAGAACCCCTTCCTGGTGTCTCTAACATTGCTTGCCAGCTGTGGCTCATTCTTTGCCGTGGCTCTCCTGACTTTGTCCCTACACTTGTGCTATTCCCATGTATCCTTCCTTGGGGCCGTGCCCTCCTTCCATTTCCTGTATGGGTCCCTTCTGGTTTTTACACAGCTACAAAGCCCTGGCTGGGATGATTTAACTGGGAATTGGTCCTGCTTCGAGCAGGGGGTTGGACTAGATGACCTTCTGGGGTCCCTTCCAACCCTGATATTCTATGATTCTATGAAAGCTCCTTATGCAGCCACATCGGCCTCCTGTGGCTCTTCTTCTCTTTCCTCTGCCTAAATCTCTGTGAGCTGGAATTTACACTTCCAGCTCCAGGCGGCAGAAGTGTTGCTGCTGTCCAAGACCGTCTCCCCTGCCCTGTAGATAGAATCTGCGTTCTTGGTCTTACCTGGCATTGGCTGTATTAAAACCCATCTTCTTGGATTGTGACCATTTAACCAGGTGCTTCGGCTCCCTCTGTAGCAGGATCCTGTCCTTATTTACTGCTCCACCCATCTGTGTGTCACCTGCCAACTTTACCAGCGAAGATTTATGTCCTGTGTTGGCCAGTGATAAAAATACTAACTCATGTTGGACCAAGAATTGATCGTGGGGGAACCTCGCTAGAAATAGCCCCACTCACCAATGGCTCTCCATTAATAACTCCATTCTGAGATTGGTCACTCAGCCAGTCTGTAATCCACCTGCTCATTCCATATAGTGCAAGGTTTTTTAACCAAACTGTCATGAGGTACTAAGTCCCATGTCATGGCGAAATCCAGTGAAATTAACCATGCTGTTGTATTCAGGATCGACATCAGGGTAACCGGGCTGCACTTCTCGGGCCGTCCCTTTTGCCCTTTTCTAATACTGCAACTACACTGGAAGCCCTCCAACTCTGGGATTTCCCAGCTTTCTCAAGATTTGTTTTAGCACCGCATCCACATTTCTGGGTGTTTTTTTCCCCAGCATAATTTCTTTGTGGAAGCATGGCATTTGGGGGTATCCAGGAGGATGTCCTTGACCAACTCCCTCTTTTTGTTAACACTGCCTGCGCCAGGGAAGTTGCCAGAGCCAGTCCTGAGCCCCCACTTTCCTTGCTGGGTGTGGGGGGAGAGGCCTGGCCGCCCCAGACATAGCTCCAGGGAGCTCCATTGCTGATTCTGCCCTGGCCTTCCAGACCAAGCCCAGTGGGACTCTGCTCTTAGGAGTAGGCATAGCTCCTGGCATAGCACGGGCATATGCCCAGCTCTGGGCAGCATGGGAGCTGCTCCGGATTCCCATTCTCTCCACTTAATGCCTCAAAGGCATTGGTGCCAGCTCTGAGCTGGGACACCAGGGAAGCAAGAGCTCGGTAACAGCTTCATGTGCCCACCCTCTGCATGGGCCACCTCAGCGCAAAGCTCATGAACACGTGCGGGAGGCTTTGGCAGGGGCATCAGGACGGGAGCGGCGCTGGCTGCGGGGCCCTGGATTGGGTGGGCGGGGGCGTATGTGTGGGAGAGGTGCCAGCCCAGGGCCCCGAATTGGGTGGGCGGGGGCATTGGGATGGGAGCGGTGCTGGCCGCAGGGCCCTGGATTGGGTGGGTGGGGGTGTCAGTGTGGAAGAGGTGCCAGCCCGGGGCCCTGGACTGGGTGAGTGGGGGCATCCATGTGGGAACAGTGCCGGGCGGGGGTCCTGGACTGGGTGAGCAGGGGCGTTGGTATGGGAGCGGGGCCTGGCAGGGGCCCTGGACTGGGTGGGGGAGTCGGTACGGGAACAGTGGTGGGCAGCGGCCCTGGACTGGGTGAGTGGGGGCATCAGTTTGGGAGTGGTGCCTGGTGCGGGCCCTGGACTGGATGTGCGGGGGTGTCGTTGTGGGAGGGGTGCTGAGCGGAGGGCCTGCACTGGGTGGGTGGGGGAATCTGTGTGGGAGAGGTGCCGGCCTGGTGCCCTGGACTAGGTGGGGCGGAAGTGCCGGTGTGGGAGAGGTGCCAGCCTCGGGCCCTGGACAGGGTGAGCGGGGGCATTGGTATGGGAGCAGTGCTGGGCGGTTGCCCTGGGGTGGGGGGGGATGTTGATACAGGAATGGTGCCAGTTTGGGGCCCTGCACTGGTTGGGTGGGGGTGTTGGTACGGGAACGGTGTTGGGCAGGGGCCCTGGAGTGGGTGTGCGGGGATGTTGGCATGGGAATGGTGCTGAGCGGAGGGCCTGCACTGGGTGGGTGGGGGCGTCCATGTGGGAATGGTGCCGAGCGGAGGCCTTGGACTGGGTGGGCGGGGGTGTCGGTGTGGGAGGGGTGCTGGGTGGGCGCGGGTGTCGGTGTGGGAGTGGTGTCGGACGGGGGCCCCAGCAGGGCAGGGCGGGGATCTCCCCCTCTCTCTCTCCCCACGGTGCTGACCTGCTGCCCCTCTCCTTGCAGGTTCTCAGATCGATGACCACGTTCCAAAGCGAGCTTCGGCCCGGATTCTCGCTCCCCCCGGAGGCAGGTCTAGCGGCATTTGGTAAAACCAGCGACCTGTCCCCAAACTAAGGACGCAGCAGCAGCACCCCACTCCTCCTGCTGGCCCCGCCCCCACTGGAAGACCTGGCCATGCCGCCTCCACCCACCCCGGGGCACCGGGACACCACAGTGCTGTCCAGCAGGGCTGTTTGCCATCCAGTCCCGCCAGGCGGTGGCGCCCGCTGGGAGGAGGCTGCAAGCCGTGCCCTCCTGCGGGTGGGCCATGGTAGGGGTGCCCTCACTGTATGGCCATGCACCCGCGCATGACTGCAGCTCCTTTCTGTGAGATAACGTTTGCTTTGCAGGCTGCACAGCTGGGCTCCTGGGCCCACTGCATGCAGCGCAAGTCAGCAGCAAGCTGCCTGCGGCATGGGGCAGGTGGGCGCTGGTGCGGGCCAGGCCGGGCAGGGGGAGGGAGGGAGGGCGGCCTCTACGTTCCCTTTTCTGTTTGCACGTTGGGTTTGGATCAGTGAGTTTTGACTTGTTTGTGCATCACGTGAAAATAATCCCAGGTGGTTTGTGTCATTAGCGTTAGGGGAGAAGCGGGAGAAGGTCCGGGCCCCATGGCGGGAAGGGGGCGCAGGACCCCCCACACCAGGCTGCTGACTCCATGCTGTGGACAGCAGGCTCTGAAAGGAGGGTGAGGCCCCCCCTCCCTGGTACACACGGAGCAAGGGCCCCTGACTACATCCAGATGTGCTACCCCCCCACACCCACACCCAGATCCCTGTGTGGGGACGTGCTACACACACAGACCCAGATCCCTGTGTGGGGACGTGCTACACACACAGACACAGATCCCTGTGTGGGGATATGCTAAACCAACCCTCCGTCCCGTGGCTGGGCTCCATTCGATGGGTGATGGCATTGAGCCCCCTTGGAAAGCATTGAGTACCTCGGGTGAACAGGTATGTCTCTTCCCTCTCCCTGTAGGTGGTTGCCATGGGAACGAGCCCAATGAAGCCACCTCCCAGCTGAACCAGGTTCAGGAGTTTGAAAAATCCAAGGTTTCCGAGCAGCAGCCGTGTTAGTCTGTATCCGCAAAAAGAACAGGAGGACTTGTGGCACCTTAGGGACTAACACATTTATTGGAGCATCAGCTTTCGTAGGCTACAGCTCACTTCATCGGATGCATAGAATGGAAATAGAGTAAGAAGATATAAAAATACCTACAGAGAAGGTGGAAGTTGCCGTACAAACTGTAAGGGGCTCATTAATGAAGATGAGCTATTATCAGTAGGAGAAAAAACTTTTGTGGTGATAATCAAGCTGGCCCATTTGGACCGTTGACCAGAAGGGGTGAGGATACTTAACATGGGGACATAGATTCAATTTGTGTAATGACCCAGCCACTCCCAGTCTCACAGATCTTGGCAGACAGGCCAGTCCTTGCTTACAGACAGCCTCCCAACCTGAAGCAAATACTCACCAGCAACCACATACCACACAACAGAGCCACTAACCCAGGAACCTATCCTTGCAACAAAGCCCGATGCCAACTGTGTCCACAGATCTATTCAGGGGACACCATCACAGGGCCTAATCACATCAGCCACACTATCAGAGGCTCGTTCCCCTGCACATCTGCCAATGTGATAGATGCCATCATGTGCCAGCAATGTCCCTCTGCCATGTACATTGGCCACACCGGACAGTCTCTAGGTAAAAGAATAAATGGACACAAATCTGACATCAGGAATCAGAACATTCAAAAACGGGCAGGAGAACACTTCAGCCTCTCTGGCTACTCAGTAACAGATTTAAGGGTGGCAATTTTGCAACAGAAAAGCTTCAAAAACAGACTCCAATGAGAAACTGCTGAGCTTGAATTCATATGCAAACTAGATCCCATTAACTTGGGTTTGAATAGAGCCTGGGAGTGGCTGGGTCATTACACATATTGAATCTATGTCCCCATGTTACGTATCCTCACACCTTCTGGTCAACGGTCCAAATGGGCCAGCTTGATTATCACCACAAAAGTTTTTTCTCCTGCTGATAATAGCTCATCTTCATTAGTGAGCCCCTTACAGTTGGTACGGCAACTTCCACCTTCTCTGTATGTATTTTTATCTTCTTACTCTATGTTCCATTCTGTGCATCCGATGAAGTGGTCTGTAGCCCAGGAAAGCTTATGCTCCAATAAATTGGTTAGTCTCTAAGGTGCCCCAAGTCCTCCTGTTCTTTCTGAAAACTCCAAGCTTCCCTGAGACTGATGTGCCCCCACCCCGAGCGGTGCCAGTGTGCCGGCCCTGTTCCCCCTCCTCCACAGCAGTGACAGTGGTCCAGCCTAACCCCCCACCTCCCGGCAGTGCCAGTGGGCTGGCCCTGTTCCCACCCTCCCTGTAGCAGTGTCATTGGGCTAGTCCATCAGCTGGGACACCCCCTGCACCCCAGAAACCAGCCAGTGGGGCCATCGCAGTGACTTCAAACTGGCCCTGAGACCCAGCTGGGGGCAATGGGGAGCTCCTGAGCCAACCCTGCCCTCTCCCAGCCCCACGGGAGCCCCTTGCTAGCCCTGGGATCCCCCTCGGGGTGCATGAGAGCCGGCACCCCAGAGCACAGCCAGTCCCTGCCCCAAAAAGCTCACAGCCCAAGAGCCAGGGAAATTCCTGGTGCCAACGACTGGCTGCTGGGGGGTGGGGGGGTCTCCTGGTGCCAGAGGCCAGCTGTTGGGGGTGGGGGGCCCCTGGTGCCAGAGGCTGGCTGTTGGGTGCTAGGGGTATCCCTGGAGCCAGGGGATGTCTTTTGGGGGTTGGGGGTCTGCTGGTGCCAGAGACCGGCTGTTGAGGCAGGGGGTGTCCCTGGAGCCAGAGGCTTTCTGTTGGGATGTGGGGGTCCCCTGGTGACAGAGGATTGCTGTAGAGGGTAGGGGCCCCCCAAGCCAGAGGCTGGCTTTTGGGAGGTGGGAGATCCCCTTGAACCAGAGGCCGGCTGTTAGGGAATGGGGGGGTCCCCTTGAGCCTATTGTTCTTTCCCCAAACGTGTGACATTCCTGCTGTCTGAACCTGCCACAGCTTCCAGGAGGCCCTGGGCCCCCAGCCACTGTGCTGCTGAGACACAGGCCCCACAAGTGCCCCCTCATCTTCTGCCTGGCTGCCATCTCTCCCTGGGGATGGGGCCAGCCACTGGGGACGTCTTCCTGGCTGTGGTGGCCACCTTCCTTCTGCGGAGACCCAGGAGCAGCCGAGGCCTAGTGGCTGTCTGCTGGGCCTGGCTGAGATGAGCAGGGTCTCTGCCTGGACGGCTGCCACTCCAGGGGCTCAGGGTTTGGCAGGAGCGACTCCTTCCCGGCCTGGCTGCTTGCGGGTCGGAGCTCAGCCCTGCATGCTGGGCAGAGGCTGTGCCAGGCGGTCCTGGACTGGGGCGGTCCGGACACCACAATGAACCCCAACTCGTCTATCAGTGGAAGCAGCAAGGAATCCAGCTCCCGAGTGTGTGCTGGCCACAGGAGTCCCAGCCACGAGCCACGCCTCTCTCACATAATGGTGCTAAACCGTGTTGGCCGCGAGGCTGCACACTCCAGTGCTTTAACCATCTGCGTCTGGCAGAACAAGAACAAGCAGCAGCCATGGGCCGGGGCCTGGGGCCACTTCTCAGTGGACTCGAGCAACTTCTCCTGTGTTTCTCCTCCATGTTCCTTTGGGGTAGCGTGAAATGTGAAATGTAACTTGTGCACTTTTTTCCACTAGCTGGTACCTGTAGGTGTGGGAGCGGCCGGGCGGTGGCGCAGGCTCCCAGGCCCGGAGGTGTGGGAGTGGCCGGGCAGGGGTGTTGGCTCCCGGGCCAGGAGGTGTGGGAGTGGCCGGGCGGGGGCGCTGGCTCCTGGGCCAATGGCAAAGACTTGGCTCCGGGCCTGCCACCTTCCCTGCTGGATAGTCTGTATTGGCCAGTTTTAGAGACATGCCATATGTTTCTGTTTGCTCATTAAAGATCGTTCTCACAGTCTGAGCTCAACGCTTTGTCCACTGCCCGTGCGCCACCCCTGGACCCCGCCCCCAAGGAGGAGCCCTACCCACTGGAGCTCATACAGCACTCTGGGCACAGGTTCCTGACGGCACTGCTTGCGGGGGGGTGGTCTGCCAGGTGCATAACAACACCAGTGATCCCCATCACACCTCCTCTCATGCAGGGCAGACCCAGCGGGGTCACACGTGCTGGCTGCCTTAGCCAGGGGCCCTGTGGCCCTACTTTACTGGGGGAGTCTTGCCACCCCCAAGTATTTGAAATCAGTCAGACACCCCCCCGAAATCCTTAGATTGGCTTAAAACTTGATTTTGACCCAGAGAATGTGTTGTGGCCTATGGCTCCCCCTTCTGGAGCCTGAGCCCACTGCGGGGAGCCACGTGCACTTGGGGAAGGGGCTCAGCTCACTTGGGGGGAGCTGATTGGGGGGAGCCACATGGGCTTTGGGAGGGGTTCAGCTTGCTGTGTCACCCAGGGTTTTTCTGAACCCAAAGCTCTAGGTAACTTTACTCTCAATGGGGACATGGCGTGTCCGTCTGATAGATGGCTGGCACGAGCAGTACAACACATGAGGATTTTCACGGTCTCCAGCCCATACACACAAATGCAATAGGTTATAGACCATCCCAAGCCAATTGTTACCCCAAAAGTCTGGAGAGGTCTTGAAGTGGGTCAGCAACAGATGGCCGGTGGCCAGCCTCATGAGAGGTGATCATGCAGAGTCCGCCGAGCTCAGACCATCCCCCTGGTTGTACCTGGTAATATGACATAGCTTGACTCTCAAACCACTATGCACGCGGTTCTTCTTTGAGTGCTGGTCCCTGTGTGGATTCCAAGTGTGGACGCGCCAGAGCCGGAACTGTTCAGAGTCGTGTCTGTTGACCTGCGTCGTGCGTTGACCATGTGGTGCGGCTGAGGCTTTCAGAGGCTGTGTGGGTTGACGCTGCTCCAACTCCCTCTTACCGCTGCATGGCCAGAGTTGGAACCCTGTCCCTCTGTGCTCGGAGTCACCTGAGAGTAGTGCGTTCAACCTCTTTCACTCGATCTCGTTTCCTTGTTTTCGTTAGTTGTCCGTTCATTCGTCCGTAGTTAGTTAGGTTCTTCATTGAACTTTCCCCTTCAGGGGCTTATCTCCTCTCCCCAGCCAGGGGATTCTGCCCCATCAAGTCGACTTTAAGAATTGCACCTCATGCCCTCGCTCCTTTTCAGTGAGTGACGAGCGCACCCACTGTCTGTACTGTCTGGGCGAAGCCCCCGGTCTCTCGCTGCTCCATTTGCCCGGGCAGCTTGCCAGCTTCAGCTCCACAATTTTCTCATGGTGGAGGCCATGTGCGCAGCAAGACTCAGCTCCAAGAGAACTGCCGGCGAGATGGTGAGCACCCCACTGGGCCCTCCTGTGCAGCACCTCCAGCACTCCTGAAGCCCCACTGCATGCAGAAGAAGCACAGGCACAGGGACCACCTCAAAATGCAGCATTTCCTCCCCAACACCATCGGGCCAGATCGGTCAGGCCGGAAGTTGCACGCAGCAGCTGATGATCTGGCTCTGACTTCAGCACTGGCCTCGAAGAACACGCGCACAAAGTATCGCTCTAAACGCCGCCGCTCTCAGCTAGCCCCACCGATTCCGGCACTGGGACCCACCTCATCACTCCTGGCAGCATTGACCCCACTGGGTCTGTCGAACTCGGTGCTCCCAGTCCCGTGCGCTCCAGGCCACTTATTGCCTAAAACACCAACAGCAGCTCTTACGTTACCCTTCGCTGGTGCTCCGCCACGTTCTGGCCCACCAGCAGGCGATAGGCTCCATCCTCCGGCCGCTGAACCCATCATCCTCTGTCCCTCTCCACCAGCACTGACAATGACCAAGTCCCTTCTCCTGGTTGACTGTCCTCCGACATCACTGGTAGCGCTTGCAACATCGGCTCCCCCTTTCCCGGAGCAGCAGGAGTCCGACTGATCTTCTGAACCAGACACAGCTCTCTCTCCCCTTATTGCTCCTATAGTTCTGACCCTCAGTACCATGAGTACGGTCATGCCGCTGACCCTTGGTTCCGGTACCCACGGGCACCACCCATGCACGGTGACCCCCTATTCGTGGCCATATTGGCCCTCCTGGGACCCTTACCATCCTCACGGTGGACATCACGCAGACCGCGCATCTCCAGCGCATATGACC